GATTTGATTCAGCGGAAAAAAAGTTACAGTCGAAAAACAATTTCGGCGAAGACTTTTGACCGCTACTGTACATACGTACTTAAAGAATTATATTATATATCACTTCATTATATAAACCAGAACTTTGGTGTGTCGGTTTGTCGGTGTGTGTGTCGTTCTGTCCGTCCGGACCAACCGCTCACAAAACCAGGGAGTACGAAGGGCAACACTTCGTGATGTTGATGTCATGATTATGATAACACCCACAGCGTATAAACACCGATCGAGCACACTCAATCTCATTCTATTATACACAAGTGGAAGGACCATAGCGGAAAGACGTGAAGCTTACGCGGGCGAGCAACGTCCCGGCGGTTGACGGGGGACCAATCTGGTAAAAGGATAATTTGGATGTCCACAAGAATGGGTGTTGTTCGCATTGGGAACATTGCCAGCAGTATGTTGAAATACCGTTTGCTTATCAAAAAGCTGTGTTGCACCAGAGTTGTGGTTCAACGTTGGGCGCTTGAAACGTGTTGTTCCGATGTTGTTGAAAGTGTTCGAGCAACCACGTGAAGGTTTCGAAGTACGCTTGATTTGTACGCTTGCACACGCCTGAAATGAAAGTGAACTCAGCACCTTCTTTGGATATTTATCGATAGGAATTATGAAAGGAAAGGCATTACCGAACACAACGCAGCCTGTGTGTATCACATGCCACATCGAATCTCCTACTGTCAATATTTGCATGTGGTGTACGCACGGCATCGGTACGGTCTCTTCAAATGATTCCCAACAGGGTGAATAATGGTTGAAAACATTCTCGACCATTTCTCTGTACTTTGTGAGAATTGTGTGGAGAGAGAATGTACCGCAGAGAGCAGCCGCTCGCGCATGGCGAGATTCCTTGTCCAAGAGGGAGAGCTTGACTGAAAAGGCTGAATTCCTCAGCGTGTCGTCGGCGAATTCTGGACCTTTCATCTTGATTCTCAATACTTTTGGAACTATGCAGCTGATGCTAACACCATGCATCAGTGGAACACACAATCTTCGACATCACCTATTTCACCGAAACTGGTGCTTGGTGCTCCAAAGAAGGTCGATCAATTTTGTTTTGGTGAGTATGCATGAGAGCAATGTAGCGATTGCCCCATATTTACAAGGTGGGCAAAAACTAAATTGGTCATAAACAGCGATGTGGCTGAGGAGTTCAAATTAACAATAGAATGAATATTAATAAATCGCCATCATAGTGGTGCATGAATCAGGAGCCAATATTGCTCTTTGGAGTGGTCGCTTTCTGACTTGATAAATAAACGAAGACTTCCTAGAAAGTCATCGACTCTGTTGTGTAGGTAGTGTTGTCGAGTAGGTCCAAGGCTTTCAAGAGCGACTGCTCAACTAGTCGATGTTCCTATTATGCTTGTAGCAATGCTTTGCCTTCGGCACACTCAATACAGAGCATTCCATAGACTTGAGTTGGGAGAGCTATATTGCCGCTTCTTAAAAATGATGAATTCAACGATATTCTCTTGACGTCGATTTTTGGACAATCTTTGAATTGTTGGTGAGCGCCCACTCTTGCTGTAATGTCCTTTGTTTTCTGTTGAGGGTCTTCATAAGATGGAAGAGATTCGAGACATTTTACCATCCAGTTTTATATCTTGATCAGCGGAGGTCTGAGGTGTCTTCGAATCGTGTTGCCTACTTTTATGATCTCATGCAATGAAATTAATTGTATATTGAATAAAGTGAATATAAATTGATAAGTATATGTAAAACTTTTATGAAATTAAAAAGGTGGAAATGTTTGTAGCTGTCCACTGAATTAAGGCAATAACTCATTGATTGAGTATTCCTTTAACTAGTTTATTAACATTTTTATAATTATTAGCCATTGAGAATTTATAACATATAAACTTATGAAGTCCTCATAAAAACCGATTTCTAGTAACACTCTTATGGACTCTGTTAGTTTATTATTAAATGTGTCAAATACGGATAACTGACTTAATGTAGAATATCTTTTTGTCAAGGGAAATGACAAACGAGAGTACGAAGCAGACCGAGGCATTTTCCATACGAAGTTCAGAATAAGATATATCTTCAACTTCCGTTTATATCTGATCATTTTAGCGCAGTTATACAGGAATGTCTAAGAAGAGCAGATTTGGCCAATGGCGTCCTCTTGGTCAATACATCAAAACGTATTCTTATAAAGGAGCATCTAGCTAGTAAAAGGAAGGGAAAATTCGGTTTCACCGCTGGCCAATTTGGATAAAACAACGGAATCCAAGTATGAATAACAGGAATGAGTGCATCTCAATAACTGCCGATTTCTTGCCCTACATCCCTCTATGTGAGCTATGATAGTGAATACGGAGTGCACTGCACGTTCCTCCTTTATAAGCAGTGTGCGGTCAGTTAGTTTCACTTTCTGTTCACTCTGCAAAGCGCTGAGGGAGGCCGTTGAGCGGAACATTGGTGGAATTAAGGTGAGAAACCGTTCTTGGAGTTAGCATACTATGGTTCGCTGGTCTGAGTGTTGTAAGCTTAGCGCATATTTGTGTTGAGCGGATAGGTTAAGTTCGTAAAAGTTTCGGAACGCTTTCAGGCCTTTGAAAACGACGATTTCGTCGAAACGTCAGGCAATAAATCTTCCACCATACAAAACCTGTCAGGCACAGAAGAAATAAAACACATCTAAACATACGTTGCAAGAAGGTGTGCGCAGTAACCAAACGACGGAGTGAGCGAGCTGGCCTTCAGCGTTTCTTGCACGTATTTTTGATATCACTCGTAAAATTCCTCAAGCAATCCTTTACGGTCCAAGGCTATTGATGCTGGTAAGTAGTCAACTGCATTTCGTAGTGGTGGTCAAGTTTCGAAAAATTTCTGAATGGTCTTGCAATACAACACAATCAAACACCTTGTTGGTGCGAAGTAGTTATTATTTCTCGAGGTGGTGAATCCACGAGTCGGGATTAGGTCCCAAGAGCCAGTCCCTTCTAGAGTGAGAAAGAGGGGTCCCCAAGGGCAGGAGGCACGACACTGTCGCGACTCAAAAGTGCGAGGCAACGGCGCTAAGGCCTTGCCTTGTGTGCTGCCGTGCTGCCAGCGTTATCAACCATACGTGGTCTCTGCGTCCTCTCGCGTACGACGTACTATCTCGCGTTCTCCCTCTCCTCGCAGCGCTGTGTCTCTCCGTCGTACTACGGCCGGCCTCCTAAGGGAAATTTAGTTTTCTATGGTGCTTTTTGCTTTTTCTCCTCACTAATGTTCCTCATTGCACCCTTGCCTAATGTTTGAACAAAAAAAACGCATCAATTCAATCCCGACTCGTGCAAAACGTTGCTCATTTCGGAGGTAATAATTTCGCGTAACAATATCAAAGGCGAAACACTGAACTTTCAAGGTATTCACATAGAATATACATTACAATCTTCTTGTGTTTCAAATTGAAAACTGACAACGGCACCACTTCTTACCGTAATTTTGTCCGCGCTGTGAGGAAAGAGGCGCGGGCGTCAGTGTGATTGATTAGACACGAAATCTCGAAAATCTTTTAGCTCCAGAAGCAAGGATCAAATCGTGGAATTTGCAAAATGATGGAAGTCAATCTTACTGCTTGCTGTCTCCATCCCGGCGTGCCATTTGCCGCATAGGCATCATTTGTTTTTAGAATACCACAGGGTAACTTGTGATGAAGCCCTTTGGCGTAGAGGACTATATCGTTTGTGAAAAGATCTTTTTATTTCTTCTGATGTGATCTTGTTGAAGGTTGATGGCTTAATCTCAGCGTTCCCAAAGACTTCTCTTGCTTTCCTTTCCATTTTCAGGTCATTCCGCACCTCAGTCATCACTACAAAGCGCTCATAGCACCAGTTTAATCCTTTTCCTTTTAATACTACAAGGGTAGTAATTTGTGATGGAGTCCTTTGACCTGGAGGACTATCGCTCGCTCAAAGATCTTTTTATTTCTTCTGATGCCTCAGAAATCCAGCTCTGAACTGCATCCATTTGGGTTACTTGAGTTAGTGTTTTTAATTCTTTGAATTGATTTTGTAATACCAGAATACAAAATAAAGAAAAAATAGTGTGATTTTCGGTAGCCATTCTAGAATGCAGTCTGCTCTCCAAACATATCTTTTTGTTTGTTAACTGCTGTTTTTGGCCGCAGTTCGCCTTGCGAATGTTTCACAAGAATGCTGGGTTGTGAACAAAACTTTCGCCCCAGGCGGGACTAGAACCCGCACCTCTCGCTTTACCGGCAGTA